CATATTGATCTCATTATCGATTAGGAACTTTGTTGGAGTGTCCAAAGAGGACGGTTCCTCGATGTTTCGACCACTAGTCTACTCTTGCAGCCTCTCTTTTCAGACTCTTTCTGTAGTTGGTCAGCCGCTTCCTCCACGATTCTGAACAACTTTTAGGTTACCAAAGCGCATATTGATCTCATTATCGATTAGGAACTTTGTTGGAGTGTCCAAAGAGGACGGTTCCTCGATGTTTCGACCACTAGTCTACTCTTGCAGCCTCTCTTTTCAGACTCTTTCTGTAGTTGGTCAGCCGCTTCCTCCACGATTCTGAACAACTTTTAGGTTACCAAAGCGCATATTGATCTCATTATCGATTAGGAACTTTGTTGGAGTGTCCAAAGAGGACGGTTCTCTCGATGTTTCGACCACTAGTCTACTCTTGCAGCCTCTCTTTTCAGACTCTTTCTGTAGTTGGTCAGCCGCTTCCTCCACGATTCTGAACAGCTTTTAGGTTACCAAAGCGCATATTGATCTCATTATCGATTAGGAACTTTGTTGGAGTGTCCAAAGAGGACGGTTCCTCGATGTTTCGACCACTAGTCTACTCTTGCAGCCTCTGTCTTTTCAGACTCTTTCTGTAGTTGGTCAGCCGCTTCCTCCACGATTCTGAACAACTTTTAGGTTACCAAAGCGCATATTGATCTCATTATCGATTAGGAACTTTGTTGGAGTGTCCAAAGAGGACGGTTCCTCGATGTTTCGACCACTAGTCTACTCTTGCAGCCTGTCTTTTCAGACTCTTTCTGTAGTTGGTCAGCCGCTTCCTCCACGATTCTGAACAGCTTTTAGGTTACCAAAGCGCATAGATCTGATTATCGATACAGATGTGGAGTGTCCCCAATAGAGGACGGTTCCTCGATGTTTCGACCACCTAGTTCTACTCTTGCAGCCTGTCTTTTCAGACTCTTTCTGTAGTTGGTCAGCCGCTTCCTCCACGATTCTGAACAACTTTTAGGTTACCAAAGCGCATATTGATCTCATTATCGATTAGGAACTTTGTTGGAGTGTCCAAAGAGGACGGTTCCTCGATGTTTCGACCACTAGTCTACTCTTGCAGCCTCTCTTTTCAGACTCTTTCTGTAGTTGGTCAGCCGCTTCCTCCACGATTCTGAACAGCTTTTAGGTTACCAAAGCGCATATTGATCTCATTATCGATTAGGAACTTTGTTGGAGTGTCCAAAGAGGACGGTTCCTCGATGTTTCGACCACTAGTCTACTCTTGCAGCCTCTCTTTTCAGACTCTTTCTGTAGTTGGTCAGCCGCTTCCTCCACGATTCTGAACAACTTTTAGGTTACCAAAGCGCATATTGATCTCATTATCGATTAGGAACTTTGTTGGAGTGTCCAAAGAGGACGGTTCCTCGATGTTTCGACCACTAGTCTACTCTTGCAGCCTCTCTTTTCAGACTCTTTCTGTAGTTGGTCAGCCGCTTCCTCCACGATTCTGAACACTTTTAGGTTACCAAAGCGCATATTGATCTCATTATCGATTAGGAACTTTGTTGGAGTGTCCAAAGAGGACGGTTCCTCGATGTTTCGACCACTAGTCTACTCTTGCAGCCTGTCTTTTCAGACTCTTTCTGTAGTTGGTCAGCCGCTTCCTCCACGATTCTGAACAGCTTTTAGGTTACCAAAGCGCATATTGATCTCATTATCGATTAGGAACTTTGTTGGAGTGTCCAAAGAGGACGGTTCCTCGATGTTTCGACCACTAGTCTACTCTTGCAGCCTGTCTTTTCAGACTCTTTCTGTAGTTGGTCAGCCGCTTCCTCCACGATTCTGAACAGCTTTTAGGTTACCAAAGCGCATATTGATCTCATTATCGATTAGGAACTTTGTTGGAGTGTCCAAAGAGGACGGTTCCTCGATGTTTCGACCACTAGTCTACTCTTGCAGCCTGTCTTTTCAGACTCTTTCTGTAGTTGGTCAGCCGCTTCCTCCACGATTCTGAACAACTTTCAGGTTACCAAAGCGCATATTGATCTCATTATCGATTAGGAACTTTGTTGGAGTGTCCAAAGAGGACGGTTCCTCGATGTTTCGACCACTAGTCTACTCTTGCAGCCTGTCTTTTCAGACTCTTTCTGTAGTTGGTCAGCCGCTTCCTCCACGATTCTGAACAACTTTTAGGTTACCAAAGCGCATATTGATCTCATTATCGATTAGGAACTTTGTTGGAGTGTCCAAAGAGGACGGTTCCTCGATGTTTCGACCACTAGTCTACTCTTGCAGCCTGTCTTTTCAGACTCTTTCTGTAGTTGGTCAGCCGCTTCCTCCACGATTCTGAACAGCTTTTAGGTTACCAAAGCGCATATTGATCTCATTATCGATTAGGAACTTTGTTGGAGTGTCCAAAGAGGACGGTTCCTCGATGTTTCGACCACTAGTCTACTCTCTTGCAGCCTGTCTTTTCAGACTCTTTCTGTAGTTGGTCAGCCGCTTCCTCCACGATTCTGAACAACTTTTAGGTTACCAAAGCGCATATTGATCTCATTATCGATTAGGAACTTTGTTGGAGTGTCCAAAGAGGACGGTTCCTCGATGTTTCGACCACTAGTCTACTCTTGCAGCCTCTCTTTTCAGACTCTTTCTGTAGTTGGTCAGCCGCTTCCTCCACGATTCTGAACAACTTTTAGGTTACCAAAGCGCATATTGATCTCATTATCGATTAGGAACTTTGTTGGAGTGTCCAAAGAGGACGGTTCCTCGATGTTTCGACCACTAGTCTACTCTTGCAGCCTCTCTTTTCAGACTCTTTCTGTAGTTGGTCAGCCGCTTCCTCCACGATTCTGAACAACTTTTAGGTTACCAAAGCGCATATTGATCTCATTATCGATTAGGAACTTTGTTGGAGTGTCCAAAGAGGACGGTTCCTCGATGTTTCGACCACTAGTCTACTCTTGCAGCCTCTCTTTTCAGACTCTTTCTGTAGTTGGTCAGCCGCTTCCTCCACGATTCTGAACAACTTTTAGGTTACCAAAGCGCATATTGATCTCATTATCGATTAGGAACTTTGTTGGAGTGTCCAAAGAGGACGGTTCCTCGATGTTTCGACCACTAGTCTACTCTTGCAGCCTCTCTTTTCAGACTCTTTCTGTAGTTGGTCAGCCGCTTCCTCCACGATTCTGAACAGCTTTTAGGTTACCAAAGCGCATATTGATCTCATTATCGATTAGGAACTTTGTTGGAGTGTCCAAAGAGGACGGTTCCTCGATGTTTCGACCACTAGTCTACCCTTGCAGCCTCTCTTTTCAGACTCTTTCTGTAGTTGGTCAGCCGCTTCCTCCACGATTCTGAACAACTTTTAGGTTACCAAAGCGCATATTGATCTCATTATCGATTAGGAACTTTGTTGGAGTGTCCAAAGAGGACGGTTCCTCGATGTTTCGACCACTAGTCTACCCTTGCAGCCTGTCTTTTCAGACTCTTTCTGTAGTTGGTCAGCCGCTTCCTCCACGATTCTGAACAACTTTTAGGTTACCAAAGCGCATATTGATCTCATTATCGATTAGGAACTTTGTTGGAGTGTCCAAAGAGGACGGTTCCTCGATGTTTCGACCACTAGTCTACTCTTGCAGCCTCTCTTTTCAGACTCTTTCTGTAGTTGGTCAGCCGCTTCCTCCACGATTCTGAACAACTTTTAGGTTACCAAAGCGCATATTGATCTCATTATCGATTAGGAACTTTGTTGGAGTGTCCAAAGAGGACGGTTCCTCGATGTTTCGACCACTAGTCTACTCTTGCAGCCTGTCTTTTCAGACTCTTTCTGTAGTTGGTCAGCCGCTTCCTCCACGGGGGGGGGGGGGGGGGGCAGGGGGGGGGGGGGGGGGGGGGGGGGGGGGGGGACGATTCTGAACAACTTTTAGGTTCAAAGCGCATATTGATCTCATTATCGATTAGGAACTTTGTTGGAGTGTCCAAAGAGGACGGTTCCTCGATGTTTCGACCACTAGTCTACTCTTGCAGCCTGTCTTTTCAGACTCTTTCTGTAGTTGGTCAGCCGCTTCCTCCACGATTCTGAACAACTTTTAGGTTACCAAAGCGCATATTGATCTCATTATCGATTAGGAACTTTGTTGGAGTGTCCAAAGAGGACGGTTTCCTCGATGTTTCGACCACTAGTCTACTCTTGCAGCCTCTCTTTTCAGACTCTTTCTGTAGTTGGTCAGCCGCTTCCTCCACGATTCTGAACAGCTTTTAGGTTACCAAAGCGCATATTGATCTCATTATCGATTAGGAACTTTGTTGGAGTGTCCAAAGAGGACGGTTCCTCGATGTTTCGACCACTAGTCTACTCTTGCAGCCTCTCTTTTCAGACTCTTTCTGTAGTTGGTCAGCCGCTTCCTCCACGATTCTGAACAGCTTTTAGGTTACCAAAGCGCATATTGATCTCATTATCGATTAGGAACTTTGTTGGAGTGTCCAAAGAGGACGGTTCCTCGATGTTTCGACCACTAGTCTACCCTTGCAGCCTCTCTTTTCAGACTCTTTCTGTAGTTGGTCAGCCGCTTCCTCCACGATTCTGAACAAGCTTTTAGGTTACCAAAGCGCATATTGATCTCATTATCGATTAGGAACTTTGTTGGAGTGTCCAAAGAGGACGGTTCCTCGATGTTTCGACCACTAGTCTACTCTTGCAGCCTCTCTTTTCAGACTCTTTCTGTAGTTGGTCAGCCGCTTCCTCCACGATTCTGAACAGCTTTTAGGTTACCAAAGCGCATATTGATCTCATTATCGATTAGGAACTTTGTTGGAGTGTCCAAAGAGGACGGTTCCTCGATGTTTCGACCACTAGTCTACTCTTGCAGCCTCTCTTTTCAGACTCTTTCTGTAGTTGGTCAGCCGCTTCCTCCACGATTCTGAACAACTTTAGGTTACCAAAGCGCATATTGATCTCATTATCGATTAGGAACTTTGTTGGAGTGTCCAAAGAGGACGGTTCCTCGATGTTTCGACCACTAGTCTACTCTTGCAGCCTCTCTTTTCAGACTCTTTCTGTAGTTGGTCAGCCGCTTCCTCCACGATTCTGAACAACTTTTAGGTTACCAAAGCGCATATTGATCTCATTATCGATTAGGAACTTTGTTGGAGTGTCCAAAGAGGACGGTTCCTCGATGTTTCGACCACTAGTCTACTCTTGCAGCCTGTCTTTTCAGACTCTTTCTGTAGTTGGTCAGCCGCTTCCTCCACGATTCTGAACAACTTTTAGGTTACCAAAGCGCATATTGATCTCATTATCGATTAGGAACTTTGTTGGAGTGTCCAAAGAGGACGGTTCCTCGATGTTTCGACGACCACTAGTCTACTCTTGCAGCCTCTCTTTTCAGACTCTTTCTGTAGTTGGTCAGCCGCTTCCTCCACGATTCTGAACAGCTTTTAGGTTACCAAAGCGCATATTGATCTCATTATCGATTAGGAACTTTGTTGGAGTGTCCAAAGAGGACGGTTCCTCGATGTTTCGACCACTAGTCTACTATTGCAGCCTCTCTTTTCAGACTCTTCCTGTAGTTGGTCAGCCGCTTTCTCCACAGCTTTTAGGTTACCAAAGCGCATATTGATCTCATTATCGATTAGGAACTTTG